ACTTGAATGTAGTTTTTTAAAAATGTTAAATTTCATTTCTTCATTTATTATGCTCCGTAGAGATTAGTTTAATTAGTAGAAAACAATTGAACAAAACACATTTTAGAAGGAACAAAAAAAAAAGAAGATTTTAGTTAGTGGAATAAAATAAACAGTAAATTATTATCCACATTTGTTATCTCTCTTGGACCATATTTGCAACAAATTTTGAAATTCTTGTTAGAAAACGTTCGAGAAGAAGAAAGGAAAAAAAAAAAAAAAAAAAAAAAGGGAAATGATGGAGGGCTAAATTTGGAAAAACAAATAGTTATAACACTGCTTGATTTTAATTATGTTATTAACTTAATATGCTAAAAAAAGTGCTATTAACTTCAAATATAGTCTCAAAATATACTATAGGCTGCATTTTCTCTAAATAAAATGATAGATACATAAATTTGATGGTTGGTGGTAATTAAAGAATTAAAACTATTATTTGACTTCTGATCCTATTATTATAGGAGAAAAGGAAGATAGAAACTCAATTTGACTCTAAAATACAAATAAAAAATAAAATAAAACCCAACGCTCTACGAATATTTCGACTAGTAATTACAGTTGCGTCAATATATAGGTGTGTTGAGAATTTTGTAGTACTGGGAAATTTAGTGCTTTTCGACACACATAAAATTGAACTTTTAGTCACAACATCTTATAATAACACCTCTAGTCACAACATTTTTAAGTGACTTCATGTATTTTTAGACACAATCTTGTGACTAATATGCATTTATTCACAACTTTCTGGTGTGACTAAAAATTTTCGCTTAACTTTTCAATGTGATTAAAACTTTTTCTCGTGACTAAAAATCTTGGGCTAAAAGTTTTTAAACAATAAACTGTTCAAACAAATGATCACATGTGGCAACGGCAAAGAGAGCCACTTTGATTGTTCATGCATGTTCTTGGCATTTAGATTAGTTTTAGGTATTTTGTTGCAACTTCTCTTATTTTATTCTTACATTTAAGGGATTGAGAGCTGTAGAATTGACAGATTTACATTAAAATTTGAATTGGATATTGTAAATTTTCATGAAACATATTTTATAGTTATCAATTTCATACAAACATCATCGAGATGGGACACATGATTGTAATAGTCTTACAAGTTGTCGGGCAAATTATCAAAATTAACAATTAAGAGAGCAAATTCAAAAGCCCTACTACAAGCTCAGAGATAATTGTGTAAAATACTTTTTTTTTTTTTTTTTTTTTTTTTTTTTTTTTTTTTTTTAAAAATTTTTTTTTTTTTTTTTTTTTTTTTTTTTTTTTTTTGCAGAATACCTTTTTTCTCGTTAGACCTCTTTTGCTTGTCAAGGGCATTTGGCCTTTCATCATATCGCAGCCATTGTGAATCTCTTTTGTGACCTTTTTTTTAGGGCATGAAAGTAATTTGATGGGCAAATTTACTTCCTCATGATTAAAGTATTTATGATGGGAATGGTGTTTCATGCTTGGCTGTGTTAACTTTGGTTTAGTTTGGCTTTTTTTTTTTTTATTTCTTTCTTTCGAAAAACAAAACAATTTTCTTATCTTCTTTTTTAATCTAGTATTAGGATTAAGATGTGTTAAAAGGTTCTAATTTACGTATGTTTTGTTCTTCTATGTTAATATAATATAATTTATCGCAATGTCATTTTTCGACCTAATTTCTTAACAGAATTAGACGAAATGAGCATTAATTAATTTCTTTTAAATTTTTGAAAAATTATTTAATATAAAAAAAAACTTTTTGAAAAATTATGGGGATAGAAAATGACGCATTCTGAATGAAAGACAACAAACTAAAGTAAATTGTTTTTACGTGCATGGACAGGTTAAAGAAGTTTTAACTCGTCGACCGGAATTTAGACGGACAATTTCGGTAGCCAACTGTCTTCACCTCGTCGAGCGTCCCGAATATACAGGAGAGGCACCAACCTACAATATTGATGACTATACAGATGATCAATATAGTATGTATTGGAACGATTATAAAAAGATGATGTCTCGGATTAAGGATTCTTATGACAAAGATAGATACCCGAATCTACGTTATTTGAGAGGAGATGTGAAGATGGTCAAAGTTGGGAATTACAAGGTACCTTGGATATTGGCTCCTATTCTACAAATGCTTCTTGCTCGTTTTAATGATCTCCACCCATCAAAATTGGAAGAAGAAATGGCAAGCTCTCGTTATACCATTTTATGTGCACTCATACATCGCATGAATAAGACTAGGGTAAGGTACGTGAATGAAGATCATCTCAGGGATTGGTGTTGCCAGGCCATGTGGCTCAAAAGTTCCGGCTTCAAAATCGATTTCGTGTTTGAGCATCTAAGACGACTCAGTTGTGCTTACTTTAAGTTGAGGCTTCAAACTGAGGTGCCGAAAATGCTCAAGGGAAAGATTGAGCAAGTAAAGCAAGAGAAGGTGAAGCTGGAGGCCGAGTTGGAGAGAGTAAAAAATATTAGTTGGGATCCTTCTTCTGCGAAATCGGGCTTCATAAGCTTGTGCGTGAAGGAGGCTTCTTTGCTCGAAGGGAAGTCTGCTGGCGAAGATCTTATTAAGTAGTTTTATTCTTCTTGTTGTAATGGATTAAATAATATCCTACATTCATAGAATTAATATTGCTCTAGCTATGAAATTTCGCGATCTGGGTGTTTTATATATGCATTAATCGTGTTTCAGTTAAAAGAAAATTCGGGGGTTGAATGATGATGTGTACCAATTATTATATATGTTGTCTGTTTGTTTGTGCTGTATGAATTGATTTGTTTGAGATTTATATATGTATTTGGTTGTCTTTTAACTGTATTTAGTTCATTATTCAATAGTCGTTGGCACATGAATATTAGCAACTCTTGTTTCTGGTGAACTGTTGTGGATGGCTTGAAAAGTAAATGGCTGTTATTTTCTGAATTGAAGAAAATGACCCTAAATTTATTTTCTGAATTGAAGACTTTGGTCCGAGAATTTAATCTTCGAGACAGCTCTTTAGGCTTCGTGAGTGCAAACGCATCTTCCAATTTAGCAGGAGTGTAAATGGTTTTGGTCGCCGTCGCCCTCACCGCAGCCTTGCCCCGCCCTATTTATTCAGCTGAAAACTGGGCGTGGCAAAAAGCAATGGGGCAATCACCGGTGCACTGCCCCGTTTGTGCCACCCCGTTTACACCTATGCTTCCAAGGCCTTGAAGATCCCTAAAACTTCACCAAATCAATGAAGGAGACAAAGTCCACCAACACCAATGCAAATCCGGTCTCAAAGAGCAGTGTTTGAGAGTGGCAATGACACCTTCATTGACAGTTGGAACTTACAAACTATTCCTTTTATAATTTTTCAAAATGCCTTAAAATAACCCCAAAACAATATTGAACAATTTTAGCTAGAGGGTCAATCCAGAATCTAATCCGTTTATACGGATTGGAAAAATCTCAATCCGTTACCAATCCGCTAGACCCGAATCCAATTTAATCCGTAACGGATTCGTCGATTGAATTATCCGGATTCAGAGATTAACTTACGTTTTAAACCTCGACTCTTGTAGCTCATCTCCATATTGAAAATATTCTCATAAAATTATGACAAAATTGATATTTGCATAATTTCATATACAATATGTATTATATAATTGAACAAATAAATTCCATTACATATGTTATTAAACACATATAAAAAATATTATTTATATAGATCGGATTCGCAAATTATGCGGATTGAGAATTTCTCAATTCGCAATCCAATCCGTTGTTGCTGACTGGGAAAATCTCAATCCGTTTTGAATTTAAAATTTTTTTACGGATTGGATTGGATTATGCGGATTGGTCAGATTGGAAGATTCGATGAACATCCCTAATTTTAGCCCCTAAAATATATTTAAACAACATTTTATCCCGTAGACCAAAATATTTTTAAGCCTAAATTTATCTTTCTTTCTTTTTTTTTTTTACCAAATTAGTTTTTTTGGGCATTTCAATGGATTTTCTTTTTAATTTCTTAAGCCTTTTATTTACTTTGATTTTCTCTCAATTTTTGTCATAAAAAAAAAAGTTTTCCATGAAAGTGTTTCTATTTTATAATTCTCTTAAAAGTGTTTTCAGAGAGAGAAAGTTAGAAAAAGAGGCTCTGCAAGAACAGAGAAAGGGTTTATTTTGGGGTCGATGGTCTGGCGTTTTGATCGGTTGCCGGCCTCCAAAGTTCGTTGGGAAAATCTCAACAGTTACTAGCATCGACTTCTTGTCAATGGAAGTGTGGGTAGTCATTAAAATGGAGCTGTTCAAGGGGAAGAAGTCATTCTTCTACAGTAGATCTAGGACACATTCGACGTGGGATTCCGTTGAAACTTTGAGAAATAGGTTATGGAAGGGAGGCGAGGAAGGTGGACTGACGTGTGTCATAGTCGGCACCTGTAGGTGACTGCACGTGAAATCCATGCGCTACTGTATTTCCAACGCTTCTGTCGCTATTTCAGGTGCTTTTTTTCGGTGTTGCTCCCACCGTGATTCACATATTTTTGGAGTTGAGGGGATTGATCTTTTGGGATCTTTGTAAAGTTTTTACAATTTTTTTGTTTATGTTAGTGTTGTAATAATGGTAATGGTTTTCTTATTTAGTTGTTTTCCACCGTTCTTAACTTGTATTGTGTGGCTTGGTTATATTTTGAGATTAGAATGTGGTTTATCTTGAGTCTTTTTTATGTGACTAAATCATGATATTGTATTACTTATTGAAGGAATTCTCTCCGTTATTAAGTTAAGAACGCATTTATATTATTTAGTCGTGTGTGTAACATCAATTTTTTCGACTTTATCATATTCGAACCTTTATTGGCTCTTTAATGATTTCTCGTTGCGGATTGATTATAATTTATAACTAAAAAAAATAAAAAAGTTTCCAGGAACTTGGAAGGGACCCACATTATCTGTTGTGTTACACTTGGGCCAGATGACCCGGCACAGACTTCTCAGCAGTCCCAGTCCCTTCTTCCACATCTGATGACACCAGAAACTCCATAACCAAAAAAGAGAGAGAGAGAGATAACCAGTAATGGCATTGCTTTCTCCACAGATTCCAATCTCCGTAATTCCTTCGTCTTCAAGAAACAAGCTCCGGTTCTTCAATTTCTCTCGTCGCAGCAATGGAATCCGAAAATGGACCAGAAGAGATCACTCCTCTGCAGCTACGAATCCTCCATTGATTTCGATTTCGAGTTCCCGCTTCAAATGCTTCTCGCGGAACCAAATTCGGTCCGAATCGGAGCTCGAATTCGAGAGGCTTTTCTCCAACCTCAACCGGGCCACCTTCAAGAGAGAACCTGGTTCGTCTCTACATTTTCACGATTATCGCAGGGATTATGTAAATTTCTTTCGCGTAATTTCTTTGTATTTTTTTGCAGGAAGTTTATCGAGCGCGGTTTTTCTTGTCGCTGGAACCACGGTAAGCAAATGGAACTTTTCGGATTCTAATTTTTCTGTTTGAAGTATTATTTTCAGTAATGCAGATTTGAAACTTGTTTGAATTCGTAGCAAACTTCACTTCTTTTTTTTTTTTTTTTTTCTTTTTTGGAATTAGTAGCAGTATTTCACTTTAACTTTTGGAAGATAAAAGACTATTTCATGGAATTTCTTCCCAAAACCCAACCTTTTGGGGGGAGGAGAGAGTACATAACTTACAAAAATCCTTTTGAATTTTGTCATTTGTGTTAACTTGCTCTTGACTTTTTAAATGTACCAACGACACCCTCTAAACTTGATAAAAGTGGCAAGTTAGTCCTTATGTTTGTTGTCCTTTCAAAAAATAGTGTCGGAACACATGACTGCACGTGAGGTTTTCCGTCTATTTTTTAACGAAAACTGATGGAAATACTGACATTGTCATTTTCTGAAACTCGGGGGTATAATTGATACATTGGAAAAATCAGGGCAAGTTAATACTAGTGACAAAGTCCAGGTTGATTTTTGTAATTTGCCCCATTCTATGCTAATAGTTTCTTTTTGTAGTTACTTGTTAATGTTGTATTGACCATAAGTTTAGAAACGAGTGGTTAAATTGTTAATGTCAATTTTTTTTTTTTTTTTTTAAAAGAAAAAACCTATTCATTCTTTTTTGTGCATTACTATGCAGATAGGAGCTGGGATCCTTGCAATTCTTGCTGTGACTCAAGAATCTGGATTTCTGGCCTCTGCAATTACATGCATTTTCTGTTGGGTTTACATGGTAATTATCCAAGCTTAATGTTGTTATCATACTTTAAATATTTTCTTTGTCAATGGTCAATCAAGGCTAATGAATCTAAGGTGCTTAACTTTAATATGGACTTGGATTGGATGTGCCTTTTAAAGCGGTCAGCCATCCAAACTTCACTTTTGTCTTTTGGTCATCTTACTTACTGGGCAGGTTTATGGACAGATGTAATAATTTTCAAAAGAACTGACTCAAATATATAAAAATTTTAGGATACAAGAGAGTAATGTTTGCAAGAAACATCAAAATTGCTGCAGGTTGTAACAGGGCTCCTAATTGCTGAAGTAAATGTCAACACTATGTGCGAACTGGGTTCTGGTGGTGTATCTCTGGTAATTCTTCATCTCTTTTGTTCAAACTACTGTAATTGTCTTTGTATTTGAATCAAGATGCACTTTTACTCGATGAGGAAAGAGAACATTGGTTGCAGTAGAATTACATCTTTCTGGTCAATATCATAATCATATATATTTTGTATAATAGCATATTATTTTTCTGTTCAAATTTGTCTAAACCCAACAGTGTTCATTCATTTCCCTTGTGACTATAAATTCAGGTATCAATGGCCATGAGAACTCTAGGGAAAGCAGGAGTCCAAATTTCTAGGTAGGTAAATTCCTCTTGAAATCTTTTACAGGTGACTGAGTTTTATTAAGAATATTTCTAATCTTGTAATGCTGTTGATATACTAGTTATGAATTCTGTGCCATTGTTTTGCTTTTAATATTTAGGAGCATTCTCAAACATGTAGATTGAATTACACCGAAAAAAGTATTGATAAAGAGAGGGCTGGCGGGCCATAGTGAAGGCATGGAAGAAGAGAATATTGAATGGGAATTCTTTCCCAAAAAAGGGAAAGGTGAAACTACCTGCGGCAAACTGGACCAACCAGTAGACTCCAACTAGAATAACATAGCACTACTATACTCTTCTACTCGATTAATCATCCAAACATATAGAAATTTGTCCAAATTTCATAGCTTTGTCGCTTTGCTCACATGTCTTTCAAACAACCAAGGTCCAACAATTGTCATATTCCATCATCATAACGAAATTGTAAAACAAGAAAAATAGAGAAATGGAGTTAATCTGTAATTTTAGCATAGTTTTTAAGATGTTGTGCTATGTGCTGGATGGATTTCTTGCCCGTCTTGAACTAATTTGCATTCTTCTCGTATTTGTTTAACAAAATTTAACTTGCTGTTTCTTACCAAAACAGGAAAAAAACAAAAAAAAACAAACAACAACAACAACAAATACAAGCCTTAATCCCAAATTACTTCGGGTCGGCTATATGGATTTCTTATTTCCAATCTGTTCTATTAAACACAAGACCCTCCTGAAGCCCTAGATCTTGAGAAAAAATTTAAAAAAAAAAAAAAAGAAAGAAAAGAAATGGAGTTTATCTGTATTAGTGGGTGGCTCCTCCAGTATAAATAGAGATCTCCTACCAACTAACTCATATGGAATTAACTTTGCCCTGCTAGGTAGAGCATGGATTTCTATCATCTCTAGCTTGTCCTTAACTTGAAGAATAGTTGTTGCTAAATGCTACCTAAGCAAAATGATATGTACAAGAACAATCACATTTTCTCAAAGCAATGGGTGGATCATGAGAGTTTAGAGTTAAGAAACTCTAGTAGGAGCTTGAACATTTGAGTACTTTGTCCAGCTGGGAACCTGTGTAGAAGCTATTATGCAGGAAATTTTTTTTTACCGATAAGAAACAAAACTTTTTATTGAAGAAAGAAAATGAGAAATTCTCTACAAACAGAACAAAAACTTTACAAAAAGTTTTATTTTTATCTGCACCACTATTGCTCTAGATTTTTCATATGTATGTAACCTGGTATGTCTGATGTGCTTTGTTTGCGTATAACTTCTTTGTCTTGCAGCTGGTCGTACATTTTTATACACTACGCTCTCCTTATTGCCTACGTTGCTCGCTCATCAGATATCTTGACCAATTATCTCCACATTCCATTGTATGCAACATGACAATCTTTACCTACTGCTCATTGGTTACATCAAATATCAAATATGTGTTTTTTACTTTCTGTACCATTTTGAGTAGTACTTCTATGTTATTTCAAGCTCCTTCGTGTGTTTGTTAGGTGTTGATGGCAGCATTATGGTTGCAGATGGGAAAGCGCGACCTTGTTTACTTTGGTTCTGGGCGGCATATGCTACTCTGGAAGGTTTTATTGTCCTACTTTAAACTTGCTTCTTAATTTTTTCCTTCATTGAAATTTGGACGCAAACCAAGGTTTAATCTCTCTCGTCTTAGTTAGTAAAAGCAACAATCATGTCTTTTCAACCTAGAATATTGCTCATTTTTCAAAACACAGAAAGGTGATTTTTATCTGGACGAAATGATAACTAATCTTTGCAAGTTTAAAATATATATTAAAGTGCATATCAGATTTTGCTTATGCACGCTTAGGCAAATACGAACTCACTGGCCGCTGCACATAAATACACACGCATTCGCCGCATATTTATATGCTGCTGTCGTTCTACATTATTTTTTTTACACTATAAATTTGTCTTGTATGATGTATTGAGACCTGATATCTTTGCGTTGAAATAAAAAAAAAAAAAAAAAGGATTTAGAGTGTGCCACTTAAGATTATATTTTACTGATTTAATAAAAGACATATTTTTACTATGCCACTTTGATGGCAGAAATGTTACTTAGTACTATTTTGAGTGGTATTTTTTGTTGTCCGTAAAAACTGTTACTGGACCACCTCTTAATAGCTTAAGTTAAGTAACACTATATTACTATTTTCCATGCTTATAAAAGATAATATTTTAGTAGTAATTTTTTTTTAACAGTTTTATAGAAAAGACTGACACCAAAGTGACCAAACTGCTGTTAGTTGTTTGACAGTCAACTTAATAAGTTACTTATTTATGGTGATGGCCAAGTGGAATTTCAAAGAACAATTCAAAATATTTTGGAATAAAGTTCTACACTAAATTGCATTTGAGCTCATGGTATAAGCTCATATAGTCATACTTGGCCTTATTGGACACCCACAAAACTTAGAGTTTGTTCAAGATATAAAATCATTTTGCGCCAAAAATGGGGAAAAGAGACTCTTCCCATAGTATTTGCCCAACGTCTCAAAAAAAAAAAAAAAGAGCATTGCCATCTAAAACCAATTCTTTTAAGTGGTTGCTAGCATAGCCTAGGGGTAATTCTATACCTGACTCCACCCTAAGGTGAAGCGCTCGAATCCCACACTCCCGAGTTCCAAAAAAAAAAAATAAAACACTTCTTTTCAGCTATGCCAAATGAACGCTCGTTTTGTCGTTTCTTATAAATTGTTTAATTATATACTCTCCAATATATGTAGCTTTGTTAGGAAAATTTAAGCTGGATATGCATATGGCAATATGTTAATTCTTCCATGGAAATAACATGAATATGCGACCTATATTGATTGTTCTTGCTATTGATATAAAATTGCTTCTAAACTGTGGTTGTGCCTAGTTGTTAATTGACTGTTTTTATTTTCCATTTTAGCCAGCGGTTTATTGGTGCCATTAATGGAGTCCTAGTATTCGGAATCATCATTTCTTTTGCAGCTCTTGTGGTAATTTTTTCCCTTCCGAAATTTCAAATATACTTTTGCTGGAACAAAAAATTCTAAATTATTTAAACCAGTGACAGATACAGGTTTTGTTGGTATTAATAGGTCGCCAATCAATTATAAGAAATCCCCTTCAGCATAGGTCTAACAGAAATACCTTACCGGGTCAGTCAGAGATGAGACTGAACCATCCAAAATTTTTCCGACTGAAGGAGCTATTCTCTAACGTCTTTCAGATACCATTCACGAAATTATGCCGAGTGGACATATAAGCAATTCAAAGGATCGTCAAAGTCCAAGTGAGAACTTGAATTTAAGAACCAAAGCCAAAAGAAAATACCTAGACATGAACTAAAATATTTTGGGAATTATGAACCTAGAAAGGGTGGTGGGTAAGACTTGGGACACGTGGAAACCATTGACATGACCAGAAAAATCTGCAACTTCATTGCAAAAAATGGACTTCTAAGAACAGGATAAAAGTCTTAATGAGACTACACTCTAGAATAGACAATAAATAACTTGATTGTACAGATGGACTTTCTGGAATCATATTAAAATGTGGCAAACTACAGATGCCAAGATGTACCCTCTTCTTTTTTTTTTCCTTTTTTTTTTTTTGGGATTAACAAGCATTTGATACCAAGATAGTACTTGCACCTATCAAGTTTAGGATCAACAACTATTTTTTTGTTTGATTTATTTTTTCTGGGGAAGATAATTAATTATTTGCACTGTCATTCCATTATTTTCTTATACTTTCGTGTTTAGTTCCGTCAACGCGCAAGAATTCTTGTTAGAGTATTCCAAATTGACTATGAGTATACCTTATGCATCCTATGATAAGCAAATATAAAGTCTTCTCTCTTAGGCAGTTGCAAGTGGAGACCTACATTGGGATGCTCTTCTTAAAGCCAACTTTCAAGCAGCTCCTATGAGTATACCGATAATTATGCTTTCCTTTGTCTACCAGGTAACAATCAGCAACTTTCAGTCATTCATCATTGAGTGGATTGTAACATACGTATCTGGTTTTTTCAGAATGTAGTGCCAGTTATTTGCACAAATCTCGAAGGAAACCTGTCAAAAATAAGGTGAAAATCTTTTCATTGTAGTGCGTGCAATATGTCTGTGCATGATTATCCTTATTAAAGAGTGTAGGACGATTCTTCTAATATAATTTTAAGCGTGCATGATAGTGATTAAATAGTAAATTCAAAATTGACATCGGGCAAAGGAGCATGCTAACAATGTTTTACCATGTCTAAGTCGGGGAAAGGAGAAAACTTTCAATTTAAGCCGATTCTTTTTAAAATCTCTATTTGCTAGATTAGGTTTTCTTTCTGGTCAGCAATTTGGCACGTGCTTTAAAAAAATCCAGAAAAAAGAGATCCAGTGGTCGTGTTTGAATTATAGCTTATAATGGCTTCACAAACAGCACCAGTGTGTTCCAAAGAAAAACTCATGCCATTTTATTTACTTCAGTCATTGTCCTTGCTTTAATTAGTCAGTATCTAATTCTGGTTATTGATGCGTAAAATCCCCCCAAGTCACAAAACGAAATTTAGTTGAATTGACTGAAGTAATCTTCTTATTGCATTGACTTTGATGTTTGCGTGCATGGTTCTTTTCATTTTAAGTTTAATTCTACCGTTTCGAGTAACTCGGTTTGTTATTGTTATTGAGATGCAAACATACAGGACAGCGATCATTCTAGGCACAGCTATACCCCTTCTTCTGTTTCTTGTTTGGACTGCTGTTATTCTTGGAACCATCACAAGTCTAGAAATAGGTTCTGACAAGATGATTGACCCATTACAACAACTGCGATCTTCTAATGGAGCTGTTGGTGTACGTTCTTTGGATAACTCCAAAAGTTTCTATAGCACAAACATAAGAGAATTTGGATTCTGTTACTACTTTTGATTTTAACAAATTTTTTACAGCCGATAGTTGAAGTGTTCTCTCTTCTTGCTATTGCGACATCTTACATTGGATTCGTGTTGGGTCTCTCCGACTTTCTAGCTGACTGTAAGTATCTTCATGCTTTTGTATATTCAACTGTCATTGTCTGGTAACAAACAATCTTTATTGCTCATTGGCCTACGGCCTACGTAAGCCTCGGGCCACCTTTCCGGAAAGTTCCTGTGTTGTTCCAAAAGGAGCTCTTCTAGTAAGTTGGTCTCGTTTTTATTATAGTTCAAATAATAGTTAGGGGAGTACGTGACCCATCTCCAGCCTCGGCACTGATAGACTAGCGTCAACAAAAGATAGATAATCAATGACCCTAAGAAATAGAATAGTGGGATTAGTTTACCAAGAAATTAGGACATCAATTTCTTCTAAATGACCCTAAGAGTCGTTTGGGTCATTTGGTGAACATATTTGGCACATATTCAGTAATGCGAATGTTATGCACAAACAAAAGTGGATGATAATGTATCTTTAACTTGTAACCACTTAACAACTAAAACACATTTCCAGGCAAAATGTTGTCAGACACCATGAAACATCATTGATATCTAGAAGCATCCAAAAAACTTGACCACTTTGATTATTGTCAGAAATGTGTAGCATTCTGATTTTCATCAAAACCGGTGTTATCTAGACGAGGACTAATTCATTCAATAACATATTTTGTAAGGTTCTTACATCATTTTCAAAATATGCAGTGCTGAAACTCCCTGTTGGTCGGGGGAGTGCTCTACCATATCTTTTGACGTTAGTTCCACCTTTGGCACTGTCATTGCTAGATCCAGAAATATTTTTTAAAGCATTAGACTTTGCTGGGACCTATGGAGGTATGGTTTTGGTGTACTCATATATAACATTTTTGCATCCATTCTTGTAATTACCAGTCATTTATCATGTAATATTGTGGAAGATGTTTGTAGCATTGTAAATGTGTTCACCTGCAAAAGGCATATAATTGCTACTATATTTTCCCAATTTTCATCGAATAATACATGTACATCCTGTTCGTTTCATTTTTTTGAACATTCTCAACTGAAACAGCTGGGGTTTATGTTGTTGTTGTTGTTGTTGTTGTTAGTACTGGTGCTGTTTGGAATTATTCCAGCTGCAATGTCCTGGTCAGATAGATACTCAGCTTCGACGCTATCAACGGGATTACCTCAGTTGGTTCCAGGAGGAAAGTTCACCCTTTCGCTCGTGATTGGAGGCGCGGGATATGTCATTTTCTCAGAAGTGCTCGAGAAACTTGGACACCCTTAAGTATCAACATTGCAAAAAGCTTCTCAAGATGGATAATGTACAAACTAATTATTTCTTTAGTATCTCAATATAAAATGACACCTGAAATTCAACGCTTGACCATGGAAATTTCATTTTGGTTTTATTGTCATCTTAATAGTGGCATATTTTATGTTTTTACGTACTGGATGATGAATTGATGATTTAGGTCGTTTCCGATGTGTTACTATGGATAAAACGGATTGCATGAAATGCAAGTTAGAAAGCACCTTGCAATGAATACAAGATTTGTAAAATAGGTTCAGTGAAAAATAGGGGATGGTCCAAGAAAAATTGACTTTATGCTCCATAAATGAATAGAAATTGGTAAAATAGGTGTATAAGTGTGTACGTGTCCACTAGGGTTCGAATTTTAGTAGTTCTATTGCAACAGTAAAGTGAGAGTTATAGACCCCACACCGTATTAAAAGAAAATAGCAGGTGGGAGTTATAGACCCCGCACCATATTAAAAGAAAATGGTAAAACAGGTAAGATCTTTTATTGAAAACTTACAACAACATACGCTAATGACGCATTATCAACTTTAAACAACCTTACCCTATTTATTATGCCGGTGTTACGCTAGCATCCAAATAGCTCCGAATAAATCTCTCTCCCTTCTCCACTGTCTAACAAAATAACTCATTCAATTCTTAAAAATATTAAAACGAAAAATAATGATTAAAACAATTTAAAATATTACTTATATAAGAGACCCCGTAACGCCCCATTTCCCAAATTTAATAGGGGGAATACCGAACACTGACCAATCCGAATGGGCCAATGCCTTTCCTTGGTGATCAAAACGGTCGGTCGTTGATAGAGTTCTAGCACGTTTAATATATGAGTAATTAATGAAAATAAATGGAATAGATTTGTGTCAACCCGTTAATAAAGACGTTTACTATACGAGTCTTATATTGTCAAAATGCCACTTTCGTTTCATTTACTATTCAAATACCCAGAACACTTCTTGTTTAGACTTGAAATATCTGCTCAAGCATTGGGTTGTTCTTTTAAAGTGTAATTTGAGTGTAGTTTTTAAGTTAAATTTGAGTTAAAGTTGTAAATTGAATAAAGTTGAGTAAAGTTAAATAAAGTTGAAACTTAAAAGAATGTGAACTTGAATAAAGTTGGAACTCGAGTTGTCTTTTTTTGAGTTCTTTGGACAAAAGAACATGAGTTTTCTTAAAATACTAAGTCACCCTTCCTAACGTTTATTAAATACAATTTAAAACATTATTAAACTAAATGTTAAATAAAATTTAAAACTCAAAATAATTGTACTATTTCTTTATTTAGAATATTTATTTGATCATTTTTAAAAATGTTTTAATTTATATCAAAAATAACATTTAATATAGATTGAGAAGGATAATCATGACATTTTTAAAATTTTAATTGCTTAAGGAGGTATTTTGGGTCTCTTTTTATAAACACAGTGGGTGTTTTGGGTATTTTCTCATACGTTAGAATGTATAAGATATCCACAAATATTATATATATAAAATAGATAAAATAAAATTAGCTATAATTAGTATTTAGTAGTCCATTGATATTAAACTTAAAAAAAAAGTCAATAAATATTAGCTTTAAATATATATACACACACACATAATTAACTTTCCACCATTTGTATTAGTTGGGTTATAAATGAGTTATGAACATGTATTTTTAGTATCAACTCGTTTCGGTCTGTTTAATAAACATGTTCACATGTTATGTCGTACTACTCGTGCAATAAAGGTTTCATGCTCGTATTTAGGTTTCTGGCATGTTTATTAGTTGTGTTGTGTTCATGTTCACTTTAATCGTGTTGTGCTATAATCATGGCAGTCTAAATGTAACACGTGAACACGAATTGTTAGCCTTTGTTGAGCATGGCATCATTATATGCTAAATATTATGGTTGTTGCCAATAATGACACACTTTAAAAAAAAAAAGGAAAACAAATATTTAATAATTATATTATTATTATTATTATTATTATTATTATTTTGGAAGAAACAACCACTTAATTTGAAGAATGATTTTTTTTCCCTTTAAAAGAGTCAAAGTTTTTATTTGATCCTTGTAGGAAGCGATCTGCGATAAATTAGTAATATTTGGATATCTTCTTGATTGATAATTTTTAGTTATTCTAACATGCAACAAAAAATTTTGAAATATTTTACAAATATCAAAAATTAAAATTATTATAACAATTACTACTAAACTTTGCAGTATAAAAGGTTAAAATGATTACAATAAGTATTAAGTACTTTCGTTATTCTTAAAATATTTTTTGAAAAATGTTATATTTTAATTCTCCTATACAAATATGTCATTGAAATTTTTACCAATACTAGTGATTACACGTGCATCCATGTATTAAGTTTTAGAAAAATCAAACAACATAATTTAATAGGAACAAGCGAGAGGGAAAAAAATATTTTAAAGAAGTATATAGAAAATGAAATCGTAAAATAAATAGGGATACATTTGAAAGGACTTAATAGGAGCAAAACGATAGATCAATGAGGAAGGAAAAAAACGAAAGTTTCGTTTGTTTAATGAAGGATTGGGGAGATAAACTTCTATTTTCTATTTGATCGCTAAAGTAACTAAAAGACGATGAGTGGTGACCCTCTATTGGCCTTTAGTTACTTAATAGCTATACTTGATCGACGTCAGCTCCATACGGTAAGATTAAAGTTTGATTGGATTACAAAACGATTTACTTTTTTAAGGTAGACCCTTTATTCCATTCCTTTGGAATGGCAGGCCTAAAACGCTTTACTTTGTTAGGGTCGGCCCTTACCCCATTCCTTCAGAATGGCGGGCCGAAAACGCTTTATTTTTTTTGTAGGCCCTTTATTTCATTCTTTCAGAATGGCGGGCTTTTAGTAGAAGGAAGGTCGTCCCTTTATTCCATTCCTTCGGAATGGCGGAACGAGGAGGAGGGTAAGGTCGTCCCTTTACTTCATTCCTTCAGAATGACGGGACAAAGGGAAATGTTAAGTTGTCCCTTTACTCCATTCTTTCGGAATGGCGGGACGCTAAGGGAGGGGACCCTTCCCCTCCCCCGAACCCCCTCCCCTTCCTCTTGATAGTTCTTATTCGTTTCGTGATTCATATCCGTGAATCACTTCACTCGCTAGTTTATTCTCTTTATTTCCAATTAAGGTTTCAGGGGGCACATCCCCCCGAACTCCCTGATTCGTTCATGTTTCATGCCCGTGAACCACTTCATTGTTAATTTAAAAGTCCAAAGATAAAATGTTTTGTGCAACCCACCCAGGGACGAAACGATTTGTTTTTGTGGGTGAAACTTTGAGAGGCGCTTTGCGCCTTTTAATATGGTTAAGATATATATATATATATATATATATACGTGGATGGTTTTAATAGTTAATATTTATCTATTAACATATATTATTATTTTAACCGTAAAATATTGATCTGACGAATGTGATTATGATAATGAGATTAAATTTTTATCACGGCACATTATTAAATTTTATATTTAATATTAACTATTGATGAAAACGTATCAATTAAAAACTGTTTATATATGTAATATTTTTCATATCTATATATATAAGATATTTTATATATATATTCATTTGTATAAAAAGGTTTTATTTATTAATTATTATTTCTATATATTTACTTATTAATTTTGAGTTTATTTGTAGTTTAATTTTATCCATTTTAATATAGTTTTGTACTAAATTTTTAGTGCTGCTTAAATAAAAATGTTACAAATGATTCAATAAAAAACAAAATTTAATAAAAATATACTAAAATAAAATAAAATACACCAAATTAAGTAGAAACAAATTAAACAAAATAAATTGAATTGATTTAAATGTAACAAAATAACTTAAAAATCTTTTTTACTTGATTTTTACTTCATATATTTTTACTTGTTTTTTTTTTTATTTTTTTACGACCTTTTTTTTCTTTTTCTTTCTTTTTTTTTTTTTACAAAAATAATTTAACAATCATTATTTTAAATAAATCACGGGCACGATAAAAACTAGTACATACTCTAAAAATTATTGACAAATTTACCGAAGAAGGTCCAAAATGTACGCATGTGAGAGAGAAAATTTAACTAGTAGAATATATAAAACTTTCAATAAAGTGTGCCATACAAACAGAATTTTTCAAAGTTTAGTGTAATTTTTCCTTCAATAAAATTACATTAAAAATGTCTTGTAAATGAATTCTTAAAAGAACCGAGTTGAATGGGTACACATGCAAATGTCACATGTTAAATAGAGTAAGGCAGTAAGCCAATTCAACCCAATTCAGAATTATGAAGATAAGGATTTAATTGCTAATTGCAAAATGACAAAATCAAAACCTATTAATTTAAGAAGGAAACTGTCGCAAGGAATGGTACACCAATCATTGCAAAGCAAGTGCCAAGAATACCTAATTGCGAGCACTAACTTACTCATGACTCTGGTCGAAAATATGTCAGTAAAGATAAATCACCAGTGGTTTAGCCACCAATATTTCACAAACAACGTGGACGAAAATGAAACCAGGAAAAGCATATGAAAGATTCTAAGAAGCACTCGTTTGGTTTTGTAAAAATGACAACATTTGGTTGCAAGTATAATCTAATGATAATTCAACTCCATCACAAGATATAGAGTTCGAATCCCCCCACCTCATATTCCACACAAAAAAAAAAAGAAAAAAAAAAAAAGAAAGATGTCAACCACCTTTTAACAACAATTTGAAGCCCTTTTTGAAGCCCCTTAAAAGCTAATTCAACATTTACAGGAAAGTTAAGCAAGCTTATATTGACCCTGAGAACATTTCAGTAGTATATATTGCAGTAAGAGATGTACCATCTTCAAAGGACATTTCTACAACGAACTTACTCACCCACCTTTATTAGGCACGTCAAGTGCACTCGACGAGGAAAAGAAACAAAGCACTAGTAATCAAAAGGCCAACCAGAGTAACCCATCTCGTTGTTACGTTCTCGGGTGGTCGATGAGCTGTTCCCTCCGGTCTCAGAATCACGACGAGTGTTCGGATTTGAAGAGCGGAAAGGCCACAAAAACGACAATGGATTTCTCCTTCCATAATTCTGACGACCAGTCTCCCTAGAGGTACTCCCATCTATGCCACTGCTGCTGCTTCCGCTACTACTACCTCCAACCCAGCTTCGGCTACCGCGAGAAGTACTAGTCCCCAAAGGAGGCAGCTCAACACGGCAAACAGGGCATGAATTGTGCTGAACCAACCAAGGAACGATACAATCAGAGTGATAAATATGGTTACAAGGCATCTCCCTTGCTTCGGAACCCAACTCAAACTTCTCTTTACAGACAGGACAATGCAAGTCAGTGCGAAGATGCGCTTGTGTGATCTTGATGGTGGGCATCGCCTCAATGGAAGATCGAGATGCTGGAGGAGGCCCCCGCCTATCGTTCATAGTAAGTTGTCCGATGAGTTCTTCCAGTCCTGGGCCAACAAAGTAGTCACCAAAATCAGCTCGCCTGCGTCCATGTCCTGGGCTGCCATGAGAGAATGCCAAACCAGGAAATTGGCCCTGAAAAATTAGCAAAGGTGCAGAACCAGAGACACCCCAGTTGTGTTCAGGACCAGATCTTGCTCTAACATCAAAGTTAGGGTTCCTTCCAGCCATTCTATGTCTGATAGTGTCGATAAATCTTTGGTCAGGACCACTTCTTCCCATCAACGCGAACATAAGATCAAATATATCAGGCATTTGATGAGAAACTTCTGAATCTGATATAAATTCATCACGTCGCGACAAGCCGTGCATCTCAGTCTCACAAATCTCTTCCACAAAGCCCCCATCACAGTAGGGGCAAACAACATCTCCTCCCCGGATCCGGAAAGTACGACTGCACTGGTAACACCAATGTGTGTCTCCACCACTAGACATCCTTTTTATCAACCTTTGAAATAAAAAACTAAGGCTTCCTACCTTAAGTCAGCTTAACCTACCAAGCAACAAAACAAAACAAAACACATCAAAAACTGAAAGTAATCAAATCCCGAAAAGAGTGACAAACACAAAGAACTTTCTGAAATCAACATCCAAAGAATTCTGTCTATTCTCAATTCCAATTGAATTGTCCTATCATAACACATCAGCTTAAAATTAGAGCGCGTATACCAGTGACAACCAAAATGCTCCACATATTATTGATCCAAAATGAGAAAGTATCTTACTCATATAAGCAGTCATCATTATTACCATTTCAAAGCTGATACTTCTCCACAACAATCAGCATATATATCTTCACCCCAAAATCACAAAAAACCGACCAAAACATGGAAATTGTCTAACATGCCATCTTAGTGAAACTGCTGCATCAAACGCTTCAAAATATGCTCACCCACTCAACGGACATGTATAGGGCATAGTTAAGGCAAAACCGACCACGTTAATATCCCAAAAAAGCAACATAAATTCAAACTTTCAAACTAAAGCTTTTTTTTTTTGGACAAACTAAAGCCCGAGAATCCAAAGTGAAACTGCTACACCAAACTCTTAAAAATATGCTGACCCACTAAAGGGACATGAAGATCACGGTGCAAGCAATGAAATAACATAATATACAGCTGAAATTGAAATTCAATCAAAATCAAAGGCTATGCAAAGAAGGGCATAGTTAAGGAAAAACCCACCATGTTAATATCTGAAAAAACATAATACGAATCCAAACTTCCCAACTAAAGCTTTTTTTTTTCTCTGTTTTTTTTTTTCATTGGACAAACTGAAGCTTTCTTCCGCAAACTGAGAATCCAAAGTAAAAAGGAACAGATTTTATTGAGCATATAACAAAATCACTGGTAGGTCAAAAAACATAGCAATTAGCAATATCGCACCTGTGAAGATTACAGCAAGGCTAAAATACATAAAACCTAAAAATAAAACTTTATTTAGAAAGTTGAGAGGGTGAGAAGGTCCTTGGAGAGCAAAGATTGACCGAAGCTCCGGCACCGCCTCCGAACGCGTCGCCGAACTCCTGGCCGTGAAATTTGATCCTACAACTCGTCTCATCATCGGCTTCTCATTGGTGGTAGTGATATACGGTGTGGTGGCTCCGTTTAGATAGATCTAAACTGGTTAAGAGTTTGGAAGTCGAATGGATGATCTCCTTTCTTAGGGAGTTTTCCCCTCGGTGGCTGAGATCTCTTTGCTGGCTGTCTTTCTCGATGGTCCTTTAACCGGACGCCCTTCACCGAAGAATTCTACCGACAGTGGTCGGAGGTTTTTGTCTTTTTATAATTTTTATGTTTGTAATAAAGTTGGTAGTTTGCCCATTCAAAGCTCATATGGTTTGTTGTTTTTTATTAGATTTAGGTGTTCGGTTTAATACTGATAGAGTGATCTTGGTCCGGTTAAAATTTTTTTATGCCGCGTAGATGTCTCATTTCTATGGATTTTGACGATTTACTCTTCTAGCGTTCGAAAGCTTAAATTGAAGTGATGGATTTTCTCCGGTTGAGCTTTAAGCCTGCTCATTGTTAGTGTGCCTAGGTACTTTCTCAGTTTCAGACCTCATACGTACGAGTTAACATCGTACTAAACGACTGTTTATTAATACTTTAATGAAATGCAATTTTTCCTTTCAAAAAATAAGAAAGTAAATCCATAGTCTACTAACAAGTCCCCAAATTGTTTGGGGAAAATAACAAAACAAACTTGCTGAGATTTAAAAAAACAATAATAATAAAATCAGATGCTTCTGAGCAGATTAGATAGAGCAAAAAAATCATCCATACAAATTAACGATGAAAAAAGGGAATTCAGATTGAAAACTGCATCGATCAGCAGAAAATTGAAAGACGTGGAAAAAAAGGTATTATTGGAGATATATATATATATATATATATATATATATATAGCGAGAGAGAGAGAGAGAGAGACGTACCAGGAGAAAGAAGAGGAAGAGAAAATGAAGTGAAAGTGTTTAGCTTTAACTGAGAAAATCCGAAAGAGAAAAGACTCGGTCTGAGAGTCTTCTTAGAGAGAGAGAGAGGCGAAATTAAGGAGAGGACTTTTTTCGTGGTTATCCCTTTTGTGAAAAGGAAGGCAATAAAGTCTTTTCCTTTCCCTCACTTTTTTTTTTTTTTTTTTTTAAGGGAGTAAAGAGAAAATACATTTTTGAAGGGGAATAGTAACGAACATAGGGATGTTAGAGATATCTCTCTCTAATTTCTTTCACATAAGGGAAAAAAAATTAGAGAGAGATATCTTCTTTTATTTTTTAAAAAATCTTATTTCTTTTAAAAAAAAACTTCAATTAGTGTCAGGTTTTCTTTAACAATTGGGATTTTAATAATTTTTACAGTTACTAACGGCTTAAGTTTTTGTTTGAAATCCAAATTACCTTAATTCCATTGAATTATGTACTACAAAATAATTTCGTATCAATTTCCATTAAAGTTTCTAACAAAAGGAGTCGTTTTGTTAACGTTTTATTTTTCAGAAAACATTAATGTTATGTTTAAAAAATTAAGGAATAATATATTACAAGAGTCATAATTTAGAAAAATTTTTATAATTAATTTAAAATGATATTAAAAATAATTTTGAAAATGTACAATAATTAATAAACGAGGAGAGAGAGAACGAGAGATCAAAGATACGAAATACAACAACTTTGTGGGTGAAAAAAAGAAAAAAATTGTGCGCCCCTAGGCCCCAATTAAATAAATATAGTTAATGAGATTCTAAATGATTGTTATCATCATCAACATAATTATTTGTTGCTGTCCTCTCAAAGGTAGCCTCCTAAACACATCTACTACACTATAATTAGAATTTAAGGAGTTGTTGTTTTGAAATATAATTTAAGTGTAATTTTTGAGTTAAATTTGAGTTATAACTTAAGTTAAAGTTGTAATTTGAATAAAGTTGAATAAAATTAAAACTTAAAAGAACGTGAACTTGAATAAAGTTGTAACTTGAGTTTAAACTTTTTCTGAATTTTGTTGCAAAAGAACCACCCCTAAGATTCTTAAACAACCTCAAATCTATATTACAAGTGGCCATTTGGTTCTAAGAATAAATGAATGAATAAGTAATACAAGGTCCCGTTCACTTTACCGATTCGAGTTTTGTTACAGTAAAAAACTCTCAGAAACAGTCACATTTAACTTTTTTACTACAGTAAAAAGCTCTCACATAAAGTCACATCTCAACTCAAATTAAAAACTCAAATCAGCGAACTAAACAGGCCCCAAGTTGTCAAACCCACTACCTCGGCTAGTGTGAAAAGTAAGGAAAAATCATTAAAAAAAAAACAGAAAGAAAGAAAAGTAAGGAAAAAGAAAAAGAATTAAAAGATTTTCGAAGATAAAATGAAAGCCTAGGTTGCTTTCAAAGAGGAAAACAAGAGAAATTGGGGGATAAAAGTATTGTACTTCTCACCATCTAAAAGTGTGAAGATTTTTCAAAAGAAAACTTATGACAATATGCGAGTCATTATTTTTTATCTTCATTTTCAAACTAAAATAGTATTAGCTAAAAAAAAATTATTTATAACCATCTATTTTATTTTATTTTTATCACACCAAACAAAATAAATAACCGTTCCTTTCCTCTCATTCATATATTCTATCATTTGTTTTCCATCCTTCCCTCCCTTAATTAACACACACACACACACACACACACACAATAAAAAATAAAAAAAAATAAAATGAGTAAAAATCTTTCGTAAAAGCGTGTAAAAAAATTAAAAAGAAAGAAGATAAATACTTTTTAAAGTACATGAGGTCTTAATTTTTATTTTTTACCTTTTATTCATGATTAATATTCTTTCTAATCATATAACTATATTAGTTAAAATGTATTTATCAAGAATGAAGGGTAAAAATTCAGGCTCATACAGTTCAACAATTTTCTCAAAATTAAAATGCAGTGTCATTTTCACAAAATATCTGAGTAAAATAAAGTAAAAGCAAGTAACTCACTCACAATTTTAGGAGAAATTTGAAACCCCATAGAATATTAGTTTAGGATTAATTTAATAAATACCCCAAAATTTTCTACCTTGTTTCAACATGTCTCTAAATTTTGAAAATAATTCATTTCATCCCATAAAGTATGAAAAATTGTTCAAAATACCCCTTAAGTTAATATTTTTTCATAAATATCCCCTAAACTATTGATTTTGTGTCAACTTACCCCTTCGATCTTTTAAAAAGTTACGGGGCAAGTTGAAACGTAATAATTCAATAGGTAAGTTGGCTTAAAATCAATAGTTTGGGTGATTAATAAAAACATAAGTAGTATTATGTCATCAATTTATTAGTTTTATAAGATGTAAAAGGCATTTTAAACTAAGGTATATATTTTAGAGGGTAAAATGAACATTTTCAAAGTTTATAAAGCATGTTGAAAACAAAATTTAAAAAGCGTTTATGAAATTAATCTTATTAGTTTATGAGTTCAAATTGTTAATTGGCTAAACACCATTGCAAAGTCTGATCCTTGGAAATGAAAGTTTTAAAAAAAATGCGCATTTCAAGAACTAACGGGCTTGTTTGTTTGGAGTTTAACTTAAGTATAATTCTTGAGTTGAATTTGAGTTATAACTTGAGTTGAACTTGTAACTTGAGTTTGTGTTTGGTTGTGTACATTTGAGTTATGATTTGAGATAAGAATATTTTTGAGTTTGTGTTTGAGTGAGTCAAAACTTGAATTTATATTTAGATAGTATTTTAATAAAAACTCAATACTGATGAAAAATTTTAATAGGGTATATGAGTCGGGTTTTATTTGTCTTTTTGTTGTCAACGCATAGAAAAAAAATCATCTCAATCAGAATTAAAACGAAAAAGTTATAGCATTTTTAAGAATAGAAAAAATATTGTTCATTAATTTGAGTTTGAGTTTCTGAACTCGAGTTAAAGGAAAAACTTGAACTAGAGTTTTAGTCCTAAACTCGAGTTTGAACTCGAGTTTAAACTTAAAAGAACATAAACTCGAATAAAGTTATAACTCGAGTTACCTTTTTTTGAGTTTTTCACTCAAAAAAACAAGCCCAACGTGTCTAAAGTTGAAAATTACAGCAACTAACACTTTTGTTGATAGAATGTAATTCAAATTTAAGAGCATCTTTAATATAATACTATAATTGATATGTCAATTATAAATTTAATATTTGAGTGTAAAAAATACTCTCCAATTCAATGTTATTTATCGTGTTAAATTTTTCATATGTTATACTTTATGGTAGATTTCCTACCAAGTATAGCATATGAGAAATTTGATATTTGATTACTATTAGTTAAAATGTTTACTTTTTCATTTAATCATTGCAACTTTTCTATTTTCTAATTATTTTAAGGGACATTTTTCGGTACATCAACATACCGGTAGGTCAGGTTTTCTATCCGTCGGATCTGCATAAAAATACGTAAAAATTAAAAAGTATGCAGATCTAATGGTTTAAAAAACATGACCTACTAGTGTGCCAAACGTGCCAGAGAATCTCTTCTTTTGTAAAAATAAAAGTTTACTTTTAAAACTTTTAAAGTTTAATAATTACGGAAAAAATAGATTTAACATTTTAAATAGCATTAAAAATTTACATCAGAGATGGTCTAACGTTTAAAAATCCCCATAACTTTTTTTAATATTGATATCTACAATTATTACAACCTTTCTTTTTTTTTTTTCCAGAAACATATTTCACTTTGAACCCTAAATTTCAATTTTAAAGGTCAAGCTTACCTAACTTTTATGAGAGACAATAAACCAAATTTGGATAAAAATTTAAGAAGCAAATCCTAAGACGGATAAAAATTAAGATAAGGGGAAAAAATATTTGAAAAACAGGAAAAAAAAACAAAAGTTTGGTTGTGCAGCGCATTATATTATTATTGTAGTATTAGAATTGTGATTATATTTATTATTAGGGAGATGCAAAAATAGTAGGTTGTTTTGTAAATTATAACATTTTTTTTATTTATAATAATAAATTATAATATGATATTTTAAAATTTAAATATTATTAAAAACCTAAATATACTCATAACTCTCATTCTTGTCTCTTTCTCCTTTTTTTCTAATCAAATCCACCATGATCGACAACTAATAGCCAAGTTTCGGCGGCTGATAATTAATTTTGATAAATACTATATTTATCAATAAATATCATATTTATTAATAAATACATATTTATTAAATAACATATTTACTATATTTATTTAAAAATCTACAATTCGTAAATATCATATTTACCAAAAAAAAAAAAAAATCTACCAAAACCTCATATCTTAGAAACTACAAAAATCACAAAAAAAAAATCCAAAATTAGATCTCAGGTATCACAAAAATCAACGAAAAAAATCTCAGATTTCATATCCGCGACAAGCATCAGATCGGCGTTCGCACGATCTATGCTACTCCTTCCCGAAACAGCCATGGAGAACCCGGTGAGATCTTCGTCGCTGGTCGTGGCTTTGATTTCACGGCTCTGAGATCTGGTGCGATAGCGACTTATCAGAATTTCGTCCGCGACGGCGACTGCCTCCTCTGATCTTCTCTTCTCCGAGCTTCATTGTCGGATCTCGAGCGGAACCACTTTGAAGCATCCTCAATCGTTTCAGTCGTGATGCCGAGGAGATCCACGGAGTTCGGCCGGTGAAGATTCGCAGCGATCTGGATGGTCGGCGTCTGGTTTGAAAAGCCGGATCTTGAACGGAACCACTGAAACATCGTTAATCGTCTCCGTCGTGAGGCTGAGGAGATCCTCAGAGTTCGGCCGATGAAGATCCGCCACGATCTTGTTGGTAGGCGTCCGGTTCAAAAAGCTGGTGTTTGGTCGGTGATATGAGAGAGAGAGAGAGAGAAGACAATTAAAATCCTAACATGGGTAATTATGGTAAAGAATATGCTTCTTCAAAATTTAAAAGTGAGCAATGCTATAATTTACTAACTTTTAAAAAAATATGTTTTTACTTCAAAAGAATGTTTAAGATATGCTTTTAGTGTATTTATTATTATTATTATTATTATTATTATTTCAGATCTGCTCTTGGTTAGATTTATTTTTAAATCTGTTTGATTTTAAAAAAAAAAAAATAATTCAAACCTTTTTTTTTTGCTAATCTAATTCTAACCCTTTTAGAATCCTCATGAGTTATCTTTTTACATCATTCTAGAAAATATTAGGCGAGGGTCAAATCTGCATATTTTAAGGGGGAAAAAACATAAAATACTTGTGTGATTCTACCTAAGAATAAACAAAGGTTAGTTTAATTTGTTAATTTGAGTTTTTAATTTAAATTGAGATATGATTTTATGTGAGAATTTTTTACTGTAATAAAAAAGTTAGATATAACTGTTTCTGAAAATTTTTTACTGTACGCAGCAAAACTTAAATTTTAAACTCGAAACAGTAAAATGACGGGACCCAATTGTCATTCTAGGGATGACGGTGGAGCGCGGTGGGCACCGAGGATGGTTTCCTATCCCCATTCTCATTACCTTAAATTATCCCCATCCTCATCCCCAATCCGCTTAAGCAAGGCGAGATCGAAGTCGGGGATTCTCTATTGGAGGAGCATTATCTATACCTGCCCCATTTCCCATCATATAGGATTATGCATTTTAAAATTATAATAACTTAAAATAAAATAGAGTAAAAATTAATTACAAATTAAGACCAAAATCAAAGTTTTCATGATAAGAATCAATTCTTAACATATTACAAATTGAATCCAAAAGCAATAACTAACCCCATGTTTGGTTCAACAACTCATACTATTGTTTAGGCTTGAGACTTTAATTCAGGATTCATATTAGTGTTTGAAAGAAAAACTCAAGGACAATTCAAACCATTAACAATGATTTAAGAATAACTCAAATTATTGATTTTAATTTTCACCTCCCCCTAAATTCTATCAATCTGAATTGTTGTCAATAATCTAATAGTTTCAGATTCTACTTATTCTCTCTCTTCAATTTCAATATTAAAAATGTCATAACTTCTTAGTTTTAATTCTGATTGAGATGATTTTTTTAATGTATTCATAACAAAGAGAGGAATAAATCTCCACCCATATTACATATTTTTTAATGTAATTTATTGTGTGCTTTTATAAGATTTGTTATAAAACTCTAATGACAGTTTTCAATACTTTATCCAAACACAGTTACGATTTTATACCTAATTCAAATTACAATTTATTTGCATATCTAAACAACAATTCGGATCACAGTTTAAATCACCACAATTTAAATTTTACAATTCTAACAAAAAAAGTTAAAATCTCCATAATTTGAGTTGTTGAACAAATCAAGCCCTAACATATAAGTGAAAAAAATTTAAAAATTTGAAAATATAAACATAAATGTTCCTTCATTGTTTTTTTTAATAACTTCAATTTTTATTGCATGATTGCACATTAATAAGCGGGCAGAGACGATGTGGAAAATACTTCTTCCGTCCCTACCCCCCCACGAATCACGAATCGAGGATTAAATTTTGTCCACATCCCCATGTCATTCAATTAATAAGAAAAAAAATATGACTACAATAACACCTAATTATTTACTACAAGTTATATATAATATGCCTGCATGAAACATTGAAAAATCATAAACTTTTTGCGATCTTTTTAATAAAAGCATCACAATAACTAGACATTTAAAAGTGAATCAAATGAATCATTCGTGAAGATATCTCTTATGATTGTTCGCGTTTAACCTAATACTGGGTGCAAAAAAGACTAAAATATAAGGCGTAACCTTTTTAAAATAATTTTGTTTTTAATACAAAAATAAAAATAAAATTATTTTAAAAATCATTCTAAGACTAATTTTAAAAATACGTTTAATTTATTTTTTAAAAGATTATTTTGAAAATAATAAAAAAATAAAATGGTGTTTAATTATAATTACTAATTAATATATTATAACATTATTGATAATTATTAGGAAATGAAAACAGGAAAAAAAAAAAAAAAAACTTTTAACCGTGTTAAAAAACAAGCAAAAATCAATTCTAAATGCACCCTCACACGGGTGTTTCTTAGTTTCAAGTCAAGGTCATACTGTAACTCTAATGTTGTCATTCCTGAGAAAACTTTAAAAGACATAATAGCTTTCTTGAAAAAATTAAGTAAACCTTTCAAAAAACAAAATAAATAAATAAACAGAAGAGCTTAAAGTGAAAACTCGGAAAAAGGGCGGGCAAAATGACTATCAAGTAGAATAAGTTAATCTTTCTTCTCTATCAGTCACAGAAAAACAGAGCAAATAAAGAAAGCACGCACAAGACCATACGAAAACATTAAACGCATGATCAAAGGAAAAACAAAAAGCGGGGGAAAAAAAGAAATGGATGGAAAAAAAACTAGATACTGCATAAATAGCTAACTCAAGGGTACTTAAATCTTGTTGAAGGCGACGATATCACAGCTTTGGACATATTCACTGCAAGGCTCAACAGTAAGTTGCTCCTCAATAAGCGTATCGACGGATACAAGGTCATCAACAATGGTGAGCATTATCTGCAACTTCTTTATACCGTAACCAACCGGAACCAATTTTGCTGTCACAAATTCAATCAGCAACCAGAAAGCATCGTTAGCAAGAATAAAAGGAGTTTAAAAGGAAAATGACAAGACTGGTAACTCAGACATGAGAAATGTAAACTTCAACAGAAAACAATTATTATGTTTTCGGTAGATTTCATCATATATACTGGAAAAGGGGTAAGAAAAACCATACATGCTCCCCAAAACAGGCCAGGCATTTCTACGGCCCGAACAGCCTCTTCTAGCTTCTTCATGTCTGTCTCATCATCCCAAGGCTTGATATCCATCAGAATAGAAGACTTTCCGCCTACAGAAAATAATGAAATGTCAAAACAAGAAGCTTTTCTCTAATATTCATTACCATACCACATTAACTTCTAATCATTCCAATGGTATGCCAGATTAGATCACTAATATTGGAATATTTATCGTTGTTCTACTCCACTCTTTTAGAAGAATTTCATGTGATTCACATGCAGTTTTATGTATATAAAAGATCTAATTCAAGCATGCATACTCTCTTTCTTCTTAGACGATTGCTTTTTAGCTGCTTCCCTCTCCTCAGCAGCCTTCTTTTCCTCCTCCGTCTCATCACCAAAGAGATCAATGTCGTCGTCATCGTCTTCTGCAGGAGCATCCTTAGAAATTGACATGGCAACAAGTGAACATGTCAATCCAACGGAGATTATAAAAAAATTTCTCTCTAAACTAAAATAGTTATCGTAGAAATTTAAGAACGAACAAATAAGTGGTTTATAATCCATGTTGGACCGCCGAAATAGTATATTAGAATCAATCTGAAAATTCAAACATAATTACCTTTAACAACATATAGCTCACTTGATTACTAATTAGAATTCAAGATCACAAAATAATAACAGATCAACCATCTTTAAAAATAACTAAACTTCACTTAATCAGTAACTTTCGAACAAAATCTCTAGTTTTACAACATGCTTGAAGATTAAGGGAAAGCATACACTGGATTCTAAAGTCAACACACATAAAACGTACTCCTATTGTAAAATACCAAACAAGAACAAATAACAACTAGATCTAATTATCAATCTTGCAATTTAAGATTTAAGTTACAGTCACCCCAAACACGAACCTAATAAAAAAATGACAGGGCATATCATGCAGTTAGATCCTAAGTTCTATTTTAATAAGTGTGAAATATATTTCTTTTCTTCTCACGAAAATCAACAAACCAAAATCAAGAATAATGATGAAAATGATACACTCAATTAAAATCCAGTGAATGGGTTAAAAAAGGCAGCTTTCTAAAGATGCATTGGTCAAATTAAACAAACCCAACAATCGAGCTCCCATTCTTCACTTTTAGTTCACTCCTTGCGAGAGGAACAAACCCACTTCATATTTTTGCTATTTTGCATTTAATTTCGTTTCTTATCTAATTAATGTACTAATGGGAGTTTCATTGCAAAAAACTACAGTACAGGAAAAAAAAAAAAAAAAAAACTCAACCAATTTTCTTCCTAGAGAATATGGCTCAAACAATTAAACAAATCCGAAGGAAACGAAAATCAAATCAAACTGAAAAAAATACACAATTTAAATACTCCCAAAAAAAAAAGTAAATTATACCTTCTTTGGTTCTTCATCAGGAGCGCCTTTTCCACCAATTCTAACTCCAACAGCGTTTCCCGGGAAACTAACCAAATACAAAAGAGCATAATTCACATTCTTAAGTCCCAAAATCTAAACTTTTTCTTTCACAATTATTAAATCACAACGCCCAAACACAATCAAATCAAATTCAACCAAAAACGAAAACGAAGAACAAACCTGGAAGCGAGCTGGGCCGAAACGCTGCCGTACCATCTGCTGGCGTTGGGGAACGAATCGCCGGGCTTCTCCGACACAGCGGCGTAGACCTTAATGTCGTCCTTCGTCAACGCATCTCTGAACAGCGAAAAATCACCAAATCAAAGTCATCAGCAAATGAATTGTATAATCGGGAAAAGTGAAATCGGAAAAGAAGAAGAGAAGCCAAATCGGACCCGGAGATGTAGGTTTTGCCGGAGAGGAAGGCGTCGAGGGATTTTAGACCGGCTTCGGTGTGGAGATCTGAGAAGGTGACGGCCATGGCTGCTGCAATGGAGGCGGAGAAAAGAGACGAAGTTCACTGAGAGCAGGAGAGAAAGGAGTTTGCTTGCTCAGTAGAGTAAAGCATTTATACTCCCTCGGATGTGCGAACCCTAGAATGGGGATCGTGTGTAGTCTCGTATAGATTTTTGTGGCTTGCTTCTTCGTATATTCCTTTTCTTTTTTCTTTTTTTTTTTATGGCCTTTTTTTCACTTACCTATATAAATTTCTCTTTAAAAAATTTCAAAAATAAATTTGACATATGGAAGAAGTTGTAAGGGTCGTTTAATTCGTTAATTTGAGTTGAAATATAATTTTATGTGAAATTTTTTACTATAATAAAATTAAAATTTTAAATTCGAATCAGTGAAATAAACGAGACCGTAATAACGACGAAAAAATACAACAAAAAATTTATAATATTTTATTAGAAAAATAAACTATTAAAATAGTGATTATTTTTTTGCTAGGGAAAATAGTTATTATTCAATTTTGTGGAATAAAACGTTAATATAAAAATAATAATTATTGTACAGCTTTATTATTTCTTAAAAATTTTAAATTTTTTTTGAGTTTCAACCCCACTCTATTAAATAGAGTGGGTTGAAACTCAAAAATTTTTAGCCGTGTTTGAAATTGATTCATTTTTATTTTTTATGTTTTTTAAGAAAGAAAAAATGAAAACGTTTCTAAAATGGCGTTTTGCGTAATAAAGACAAAAGACAGAAATAAAAATGATTTTTTAGTTTATGTATTCAGAATCATTCTCGTTTTACGTATATTTTTTGTGAGAAAAAACACTGTAGAGAACCATGAATCATAATTTAAAATTAGGGACGGATATAGGAAACAAACGTCCCCTAAATTTATCTAGTCAAATATTACTGTACTTATTTTTAAGAGTATATAAATTTAAATTTTTATAATTTATTTTTAATTAATATCCTTTTGAACTAATATAATTTTTTAAGAGAAGACAAAATAACGTTTGCACCAAGAATCATCTCTCAACATTAGAGTGTCTGTTGATTGAAAAATTAAGACGTGGATACGAGTGGCAGTTTAATTCATTAATTTGTACATGCATTGAGCGCCAAAAAAAAAAACAAAAAAACAAAAAAACAAAAGTACTTAAAGTTCTATGCTGAAAAGATCATGATCATCTCCAGCCGTTGATGCGGATGACGATATCTCATCATGTGCCGGGCCGCTGACGATCACAGGGGAGAGTTTTTTGCTGTTTTGCGCTGATCTTGCGTTTGGTGCTCTCAGTTGTTCGATTTTGCAGTTATCTTTTATCCTCCAAATTCCACACGAAAGGTTCTCTAAGAAATACTTCATATCATTCTTCATCTTCCTGTTTCACTATTAAAATATATTAGTGTGAATTTCATCTCAATTTTCTGGTGCTATAAAGTTTGTTAGAGACGTGAGAGCTTTTGAAATATAAAGTTTGTTTTATACATATTATTTATATAAAATAATTACGTCAAATGCGCTAGAATCTTAAAGTGATGTTTAGTTTGATAGAATCTAATTAAAATGTCGATACGAATTAGAATATGATAGAATCAATTACATATCCTTTTTTTTTTCTTTTCCGATTCTAATGTTTGGTTGAACATTGAAATTAACATCAAGATCATAATTTATTATATTTGGTTAGTTATTGGAATGAAATAATTATTTTGGAATAAATAATCCTTCCTTTACAAGTTAATAATGTTTTTATGTTAGAATAGTCTGAAGAAAAATTAAAGGTAATTATTAAATATTTGGAGGGATGATTTAGGATACAAAGGTTTTAGTTAATATCAATTTTCGACTTCAACTTATATCACATAGGGAAATAACCTTCAACCTTTAGAAAAAAAAAAAAAAAAAACTGTAGGTCCGAGGTCAAACTCAAATATTGTATAATTATGAGAGTCATTTGTGTAAAATAACCATTCTATTAGGAATTTGCATTCTATCCAACCAAACTACTTAACAATCAATTAGAACTTGGATATTGCATCATCTCATTACCAAAAACAAAGTTTTTTCTGGAACTTTTTTTTTTTTTTTTGTACTTCACAATTTATATGTTTTTATTTTTTTTTAAAAAAATTCAAAATAATTATATTTATTTTAAGAAATTATTTCTCTATTAAAATATATAAATAAGTATGCAAATAATTCAACTTATAATTTGAGTGGATAAAAATATGTTTTAATGAGAAACAATAAAAATAGTAAGTATTAAAGTAAAAAAAAAAAAACATGCAAGCAAAAGGTTGAAGAACAATTTATATATAAGTATGCAAGCAAGGAGTTGAAGAACAAAAAATAATATATAATGAGAAACAATATAAATACAATATTTAAAAAAGAACAAAAACAAAAGAACAAGCAGGTATTAAAGCAAAAACATGCAAGCGAAAGGTCGAAGAACAATTTATATATCAGCACGCAACCAAGAGTTGAAGAACACAAAATAAAACACTTATAAACATAATTGAGAAAAGATATTTTAAAAGAAAAATTATACGAAAAAGAATATTATAAGCAACATTGAATAAAAATGAAAAAAAGAATAAAACACTCATAAACATAATTGAGAAAAAAATATTTTAAAGGGAAAATTTTAGGAAAAATAATTAAATGAGCAACATGAAAATAAAAATGAAAAAAAAGAAAAAGAGAGAGAAAAAAACCCATCAAACAGTGCAAAAAAAAAGAATAAAAATAATTAAAAAAAGAGAATAAATGGAAATGAAAAAAAAAATGAAAGCTAGCAAGCAAAAAATTGAAGTACAAAATTTCATACCTCAAGATATAGATAAAAAAGAAAGCTTGAAAGAAAAAAATAATAATAATAAAGAAAAAATAAGAAGAAAAAAGAACCAACATTTAAAATACAATTGAAGAAAATGGACAAGGAACAAAAGCTTAAAATGCAAGTTAAAAAAATGTTCAAAACATGCAAGCAAAATAAATAAAACAAAAAGATTGCAAGCAAAAAAAAAAAAAAAAAAACCGTGAAAGCAAGCAAACAATCAGTTGAAGTACCAAAATTTTCACACCCCATCCGTGCTTCTTAGTATATAGCATAGAACTATAGATATATTGGTATGCGTGTATTCTTAAAATACGAAGTACATAATATAAGTTTATTTGCTTAGCGCCGACACGTATGCTAATTACAAGTTATTTCCTGACCTGTGAAGAATAACCAAAGTTGCATTCAAATTTTTTGCTGCCTCTACACCTACTAGCCTGCATGAAGGTCCTGTTGCTACCTCAATATTAAATTCAACCTGAAATAAATAATTTTTCTTTTTTATTTATTTGAACATGGAATAATTTTTTTTTTTAATTTCTAAATTGTAATCAAGCTAATTACTTGAGAGAATTTCCACCATTCTTTTTTATTTGAACAAAAAAAAAAAAAAAAAAAAGAAGACTAAAAGTGATACCATAAATGTTTTAGACACCTTTCGTTTTGCATACACCTGAGAGATCTCAACAAGCCCAGCATGATTTTCGTACTCTTCCTGAATCCTTGCTGCTTCTAATTCTATAATTCTGGGGTTTGCTCCAAGCATAGAACAGGAATCAACTCTTTTGCGTCCCACTGATCAACATAATAATTATCACAAAATTAGTAACATGATTTAAAATTAATCAGCACAATAATTATATACAGTAATACAGACGTCTCATATATATATATATACACATATATGTGTGTGTATATATATATATATATAGACACACACATATATACAAAGATGAATACCTACAAGGGGTATTGACCTGATGAAGAACTGATACTAGAGTAAACTTATCTCCATCTCTAAGTGGTAAGCCTTTTAGTGCCCACTTTATGAAGCTTACACAAACTTCTATTGCCGAATCCTGGATCAGCACCACTTCTTGTGCTTCCATATACAAAATATATATGTCTATATATATATATATATGCGCTTTTCTTGATGTTTCAATAATATTGAGTTCTCACGAATAATCTGAGAAACTAATAAATTTTTTGTTTTGCTATTGTGAATAGAGAAGTCTTACATTCCTATGTATTTATAGATAGAACTTATCACCCTGAAAACAGACAAAGATATATATATATATATATATATATATATTTATATGTGTGTGTGTGTGAAAATAACATATTATTGATTGAAGGTTTAAAAAAGGAAGATCAAATAATAAAAATAATTACGTGACCATGTCTAATATAGCACAAACATTGCTTATCTATATAAAGATATGAAATTTATCCCAAAAAAAAATGTATATAGATGTGAACAAAATGAGAAAAAGTGGTGGTGAATACAGAAGAAGAATTTTGGAAGTTTATTAAGAAGTATTCGGATATTCGAAGGTATAATTCTCAACAAGTGTTGGTATTATTAAAGATATCTAAATTGTACAATGCCGAGGCTAACATCCCAATTACGCACTTTCCTTTTCATTCATGATTACTTATAATATTACAAATTAAAGATGAAGACAAGAGTCGAACTTATAACATTTTGATGCAATTTAAGTTTCCTTTGGCTAATTAAAAGAAGTTGTTACAGTACACATGAATATTACAAGAATTATCTAACATCATTTGGGCGCGGCAACACGTACGTTCAGTAAAAGATAAGCAAATTTGTCATTTATTTTGTCTCATCCTTTTCAGGACCAAAGTGCGAGTCGTCAAACAATTTACACATTGTCATGTTTATGTTTGTCTCATCCTTTTCAGGACCAAAGTGCGAGTCGTCAAACAATTTACATTATCATGTTTATATTAGATTTTAGACGTGCATATATACATATATAATAATAATTGTGTATTATATGTTATTATATTAAGTTAAGCTGTGATCAAATAAGATTTTAAGTATTTTGAGTTTTAATGCATCTAATAAGTGTGAGCCTAATATGTGTAAAAACAAAATTATTATTTTTTATTTTATAATGAGCCAAATTAGAAATAATGAAAGTTAACATGTAGTTAACTTCTATATAAATAGTTGTGGTCCCTAAATTAAAATGTATGAAAATTTTTCTGACTTCCCATCATTACAAAAGTGAGAGTTCATTCTCAAGACATTCATACGG